AGGCCAGATCAAAAGTCACAACGCATAATTGTTTGTTTATAATGATTGATAACACGATAAGGCTCATGTCTCACATTTTTGTTAAGAGTCCCATGTTATTTTCAAACGCTCAGGTTTTTGTTGATAGTCACAGCATAGGTCATAGAAAATTTTGAACATAACTCAAGTCACAGCATAGGTCACAGCACATGGCTCAGGTCACAACATAGGTCACATAGACTATACAGCACAACCTCACCACCACCACCACCACCGTCTTACATGCTCTAACCCTACTCCACCACTGCCGGCAACTCACCACTACCACCATTACCGTTGCCAACACAGCCTCGCCAATCGACGGCATACCAAAAATCATGACAATCTCCAACACCAACAATATCGCCGCCATCACCACAGAAATTATTAGGTCCACAAAACCACCAACCCGCCAACACGACCACCACCAACGAAATCACTGCACAATCACCGATAAAAAGGGCCTAAAAATCATTGCACAAAATCTGCACAACCACCAACAAAATCACTGCATAAAATCTGCACAATCGCCACCACCGCCGTTTACATAACACCAACCACCACCAATTAAAAAAAAAACCACCAATAAAAACAGCCTAAAAATTCCATTTGCATATACGGAGAAATTCAAATAGTACAAATGGAGCGATGGAGAGAGGGATTTCCATTATTTATCATTTGACAGGACAGAAAAATTTGCGGGGGTTTACGGTCAGAATCCGGTGATACGGTTTCGAATTAGGGCTGCGTCGCTGCTAATTTGCAGCAGCGAATTAGCAACAACCCACGCTGCTGCTAATTAGCAGCAGCGTGGACGCTGCCCTAATTTGCAGCAGTGTCGCGACGCTGCTGCGACACCGGCAGCAGCTTAGGGCAGCATCGTGCAACATGAGAAGGGGGAGGGGAGATGAGGAGGAGAAACCGTCGGAGAAGGGAGGAGAACCACCGCCGGATGGAGGGAGGGAGGGAGGGAGGGAGAGAGAGAGAGAGTTGGTGAGGAAGTTAAACTGACGGTGAAAATCAGGGATTTAAGTTTGAGTTGGGGTGGGGTGGGGTGGGGTGGGGTGGGTGGGTATAAATTAATTTTTATAATATTATTATTAATATTTAATTAAATATAAAAAAATTGTATCTATTATAAAATATCTGATTTTGGAAATATTAAACTTCCAATCTGATTTTGGAAGTTTAAAAACGTAAAGTACTATTTTAAGTAATTACCACTTTTAGGGGTGTCCAAAAGTCTCGAACCGAACCCGAATCGAACCGAACCGAATCGAACCGAATTGAGCGGTTCTTCATAAATTAAATACCCGAACGGATACCCGAATCGAGAACCGATGAGTT